TTTTCTGCAGTGTAATTTAAGTAAAGTAGATCTGGTATTAAAAATCAAACAAGACACGTCTTCATTGGTAGGGGCCAGAGTGTCCTTGGACTTAGAGAGTGGGACGCCTGGCTCCTGAACTTTGACTTGGAGTTGCACAGGACTACAAAGTGAATTCAAAATTGGTGATGTTGAGAAGGGCAAGAAAATTTTTGTGCAGTAGTGTGCCCAGTGCCAGCCACACTGTGGAAAAAGCACAAGATTGGGCCGAACCTGCACGGTTTATTTGGGTGGAAGACTGGTCAAGCCCCTGGATTCTTTTACACAGATGCCAATAAGAACAAAGACACCACCTGGGGAGAGAATACTCTGATGGAGTATCTGGAGAATCCCAAGAAATATATTCCTGGAACAAAAATTATCTTTGCTGGCATTAAGAAGAAGACAGAAAGGGCAGAGTTGGTAGCTTAGCTTCAGAATGCTACAGCACCACAACAAGATAAACAACACAACTGAAAAATGGGCATGGGGGGATGGTGTGGGGAGGGAGAAAAGTGCAATAATGAATGAATGGAAACCCTAGGTTTCTGTAAACCTTCATTAAAATTAATAAAAAAAAAATGAGCATAGTATATGAACAGACACTTCACCAAAGAAGACATTTCGATGGCAAACAAACACATGAGGAAATGTTCACAATCCCTAGCTCTCTAAGTGAGATGCAAATCAAAGCAACTGTGAGATATAATCTCACCCAATAAGAATAGCAAAATTCAACAGAGCAGCAAACAACAAATGCTGGCGAGGTTATGGAGAAACTGGAACCCTTATTCACTGTTGGTGGGAGTGTAAAATGGTGCAACCACTGTGGAAGGCAATAATGGTGTTTCCTCAAAAAGTTGGAAATAGAAATATCATTTGACCCAGCAATTCCACTACTGGGAATATACCCTAAAGAGACCATAACTGCCATCCAAGCAGATATATGCACACCCTTGTTTACCGTGGCTTTGTTCACAATAGCAAAGAGTTGGAAACAAGTGTCCATCAACAAATGAATGGATAGAGAAGCTCTGGTATATTCACACAATGGACTATTATGCAGCACTGAAAAACAAAGAACTCATGAAATATAAAATGGGTTACCCTGGAGGACATTATGCTGAGTCTCAGTCGCAAAAAGACAAATACTGTATAATTCCACTGTTATAAAACAGAAATGACAGAGGGTTTGGGGTAAATTAAGAAAAGAGGGGGTAAATAATGTGCATGGCATTGAAATGGACAAGGGAGAGAATTGTATAAAAGCAATATATGATTAGTTATTATTAGTGTGACAAGAATCCAGAATAAGAGCTGCATACTAAGTTGGTCTGTGGGAGGGATTGTGTAAAAATGAAAGAAGTTTTTTTTTCTAAAGAAAAAATGAACTAGGGAGAAGGGGCACAGGGAGGAAAATGTGTAACAAAGAATGAGTGGAAATCCAAGTTCTTTATAAATTTACAATAAAATCTCGATTAAAATTAAGCAAAAGGAAAAAATGCTAACCATGAGTAGCATAATTGGCCACTGCCTTATTTATTACAAAATAGAAATGTCTTGTGACTTTTTCTTAACATGTTGTAGTTGTTGTTATGTGCCGTCGAGTCGCTTGCGACTCATAGCGACCCTATGTACAACAGCCCAAACTCCGCTTTGTCCTGTGCCAATCGCACTGTCTCTGACACTCCCATCCCAATTATCTCAGTCACTGAATCAATCCACCTCATAGAGGGCCTTCCTCTCCTGCGCTGTCCCTCCACCCTCCCAAGCATGATGTCCCTCTCCAAGGACTGGTCTCTCCTCACAACATGTCCAAAGTATGTTAGATGGAGCCTCAGAATCCTTGCCTCCAAGGAGCCACCCGGTTTAACCCTCTCCAGGGCAAATCTGTTTGTTTTCCTAGCAGTCCATGGTATTCTCAATACTCTTCTCCAACACCACAGCTCAAAGGCATCAATTCTCCTTCTATCCTCCTTGGTCATTGCCTAACTCTCTGATGCATAACAAGTGATTGCGAAGACCATGGCCTGTATCAGACGCACCTTAGTCTCCAGAGAGATACCATTGCTCTTCAGTACTTTGGAGAGGTCCCTAAGAGAAGTCTTTTCCATGGCAATGCACCTTTTAATTTCCTGGCTACTGGTGCCAAGACTGTTGACTGTGGAGCCAAGCAAGCTAAAGCTCTGTACAATCTCAGTCTCTTCACCATCCATTCTGATGCTGCCAATTGGTCCAGTGGTGAGAATCTTTGTCTTCTTGACATTGAGCCTCAATCCATATTGTAGGCTGCAGTCCTTGACACTCTGCAGCAGGTGTTTAACATGTACTATATTTAAATTGATTCAGTGACTGGGGTAATGGGGGTAGGTGTGTCAGAGACAGTGAGAATGGCACAGAATAGAGCAGGGTTTAGGGCTGTTGTACATAGTGTTGCTATGAGTCTCAGGCAACTCAATGGCACATAGCAACAACAACATCAACAACATTTAAATTGATCCCATACCAGAATTTAGGTCATGAATGGCCGATAGAATATTTTTTGTTAGACAGTCCTGCATTCAGTAAGATTGACTTAAAAATTTTTTTTAATTTTTATTGTATTATTTTTACGTGTACCGTCAAATCAGATCTGACTGGTACAGGAAGAAATTGACCCCTCCTTCTCCAGCAGAGCATCTGGTGGATTTGAACCGCGTACCTCTGGGATTGCAGTGCAGCCTCTTGCCACTAGGCCACTAGAGCTCCCTTAACTTTGTTTAAATTATTATCGTCACACTTCTAAAATTTTGATAGTAATTTCAGTTTAGCGGGTGTTATTCCCTCCTTCCCCTTACAAATGACTGGACTCTGGGTTAGTTGGATTTATCATACTCAGTTTTTAACAGAAATGGTGGATGCCACCTCACAATCTATAGGAGATGGTTTTTATATTTAGATTTCTACAACTAATTAAATGAATCTTATTTAAATATGAGGATACCTCTTTACTGTCACATGGAACAGAACACAACTCACCTGCTTAAATGTCTAGCATCAGCCTGTTTAAATGTAAGGGCTGGCAATAAAGTAGCAAAGACTTTATTTGCTCTTGACTGTTAATCAAATTCAAACTCCCTGTCTAAAATGTTGCCTTTTAAGTAACAAAAATCATTTCAATGTGGTTTGTGTCTGATATAAAATAATGTTTAATACTTCTCAAATTTTTTTATTATTATTAATTTTAATAACAGTTTACAGAGACTTAGGGTTTCCATTCATTTCACTGCTGCATTTTTCTCCCTGCCCAACTTCCCCCTCCCCCAGTTTGCTCTTCTCTTTGAAAAGTAAAAGAAAATTTCTTTCATTGTTATACAATCCCTCCCACCAAGTCCACTCCACTATACAGTCTTTGTTTTGTACTCCTGTCATGACAATACCTAATCATATATCCCTTTTAAACAGTTTTCTCCCTCATCTATTTCTATGCAGTATACATTATTTATCCCATCTTTCTAAGTCTCCCCCCAACTCCAATGTCAGTCCCATTTTACAACAGTGGCACCATGCAGTATTTGTCCTTTTGTGACTGAGATATTTCACTCAGCACAATGTCCTCCAGGGTCACCCATTTTGAATAATATTGCATGAGTTCCTTGTTTTTCAATGCAGCATAGTATTCCATTGTGTGAATATACCACAGCTTCTCTATCCATTCATTTGTTGATGGACACTTAGGTTGTTTCCAACTCTTTGCTATTGTGAACAAAGCTGCAATAAACATGGTTGTGCATAATACTTCTCACTGTAAAAAAAACCAATCCAAACCAAAACATTGCTGCCACACCATGGATACCCCAGGAAGGAAAAAAAACCTCCAAGATTTAAATTTGCATGTCCAAGGTTTATTGGTGAGTGCTTCTAGAAACAATAGCTATGAGGTATAAGGGAAGCAAGATTGGGGAGAAGGAGAAATTGAAACAAGTGGTGTAAATCTTCATTTTAACCTTCACCCTTGTCAATCAGCTGTTAGCATCTAGCAGCCAACACTCATAGCAGCTGGAGAAATAAATGCCTTGATCCTAAAGTGGGATCTTGGCAGTGTTCCATATTGTCTTATATAAGTCCCAGCTAGGATTTACTTCCCAAGCATTTCCTCATTTACTATTCTATTTTACCTTCCCAGTAGCCTGTGAGGTAGACTGAGCAGATAGGGATCACTCTTCCCTATTAATACATAAGAATGTCAAAGACCTTCCCAGAGTCACATAGAGTTGCCTCTGGTTTTCACCCAGGGATTTTTCACTTCATAGTGTTCTTCCCTCCCCACCCCCAACAGGAGTTTATAGGGCTATGGATTATAAGAATTAGAAAAGACAGAGAAAGCCAAGTAGCTCAACCACCTCACTGTAAAATTAAGGAAACAGGTTCAGAGAAGGGGGTTAATTGGTCAAAACAAGCTTCAGGTCTAAAAAGGAATACAGTCTCATCGCCGGATTTCCTTCATCTAGGAGTCCATTTCCACTGCCTTTGATGTACTGTAGATCCAGGTAGGTTTTTCTTCAGTCTTACTTTAATCATTTTAATGAGAAATAGAGACAGAGTAAAATGTTTTATTCTGGACTTTCTCACTTCACTTTGCAAAGTCTAAATCCTAACGAAAATAGCTTGTTATTTCTTGGGAATAGAGAGCAGGAATGATACTCTACATGTCTTCCAAACTGCGGGCCATATATGCTTATAAAGTTGATCTTTGCAAACACACAAATAACTCTTCCATTGATTTCATTCGACCAGGATTCATTTTCAAACTAGTATCATGACAAAGATACCTATTACCAAGAAAGTACATACTGGCTTTCTTTTTCTCTTTAAATAACTGTACAGTATTTATGCAGATTTATGTTCTTTTTATAAAACACAAAGATTTAACAGTCCTATAGGGTAAAGTGGGTGCGGTTTTGGGTTATGGTGTCACAGACCTAACCTTATTCCTAATTTGCTCAGTTTTCCCACATCTAGGGCCAGAGTGAGACATGTGGAACCTGGAGCAGGCAGAGGACAGCTGCTTTGTTTTACTCAACTCTCACCACTGGAATTTCCTAGTTGGAATGATTTAACTTCTGTCTCCAGATGTGACACATCTTTACCCGTCTTGATTAGTCATGGTTTAATTCCTTTCTCTTTCTCTTTTGTTGAGGTGCCTAGTCAGTCCAACCCTTCTTAATAAGCTGAGCAAACCAAAGCAGACTTGACAAAAGGTTCTGAACATCTCCCAGGTTTCTCAGAGTGCTCCCCACAAGAAAAGAACCTTGAACTTACTTGGGGCCTAATAAAGGAGATACCGAAACTGCTAGAACATTCAATAAAGAAATGTGCCAAAGAGATGAAATCTTCAAAGAAGTTAAACTGCAGGCCAGAAAAATTATTTAATGCAAAGTAGAAAAGATCAATCCACCTTGTAATTTTCCTTGACTTGTACTTTCGTCCTACTCTGAGAGAACGGGAGCAGCTGTGTTTCTAGAATGGCTGTCCATCTGGGAGTCTCTTGTACTGGTAGGTTGCTCCCAGATCTGGAGGAATGCTGGTGTCCTTTAGAACTGGGAGTAGTTGTGAAACAATAAAATAATTTATGTATAGTTCATTGTCCCTACCAATCTCATCACTTCCTCATTACAGTCACAGGGCTGTTTCATCATTTCCAGGCCCTTGGGGCCCCAAGGTTGCCTTTTACAGAACCTGAAAAATAAACATAGAATGAGGAAGGGTAAATTTCTAGGAGGGAGGAATTTCAGTAGGGGAGAGGGAGGAGAACCTCAGTCTTTGAAAATATCTCCTTCTGACTCAGGAACTTGAAGATAGGAAGAACATATAGATGCATTTGGGGAAGGGAAGGAATGCAAGAGGAAAAACACACCTTCTCTGCTGAGGAGCATCCTTTGCTGTTGTTCATGTTGATATTCTTCATGGAGATGAGGGTGATGCTGTCTTTTGCACCATTGGCTGTGGAGCTAGGGGTAGGGAGAGAATCTAGGTTAGAGGAGGAGGAGGAGGAGGAAAGGCAATGGGGAGTCAAGGAGTTGTGGGGTTGATGATGTTGAAATTTAGACCTTTTTTTAAGTATTTTTAGGGAACTCTCGTGGCCTAGTTCAAGAAGCTGCACTGCAATCCTGAAGGTGTATGGTTCAAATCCACCAGATGCTCCACTGGAGAAGGAGAGACAATCTCGTCCTGTACCAGTGAGTTTTGACTTGATGTTACACAACAACAACAAGAAGACGTCTTTATTTTAGCTGTAATAAGTGCTTGGAAGCCTAAAAGACCTGTGTTTAAATCTTGGCTTTACTACTTAATACTTGTGTAGCCTTGAAAGGTCAATCCTTTCTTAAATCTTATTGTATTCAGGTTTAAAACGAAGTGCTATCCACCTTAGAGAATTGCTGTGAGGATTTGAGATAATACTGTCTCAAGGGAACTACCACAGTGTTGTACGTGTTGTCGTTGTTGTGTAGAGTAAGAACGACTTGTAGCTAACCCTCCAGCAGGTTTTCAGAGCCAGTTCATCGCACTGAAGGAGATTGTCCATCTGACTCTGGTGGAGCCAGAGTAGATTCAAAATGCGGACCTTTGGGTTGGCAACATGACTTCTTACTACTAGGCCACTAGAGCTCCCTGGCTGGCACATAGAGCTACTATAGATGCACTGCAGTCTCAGTGGCACGTGGCTCGTGGGGCAATATCCTCCTGTACAACTTACTGCCTATGAAAACCCACTGGAGGGTCAGCTATGCATTCTGACTCAATGGCACACAATAACAATGAGTACAGATGAAGTATCTTCTTATTTAAATAAGATCTGAGTTGCCACATTTTTAGGACAGAGTTATAGAGATTTAACTCTGGGCTAGAGTTCTAATCCATCTTCTCCACCATCTTTGATTGTCTCCATTCAGATTTCTCTGTGTCCTTGTCTTGTTCACCCAGTGACTCAGTGGAGGTTCAGGGTGTGACTATGTGGAGTTGGGGTGTTGAGGAAGTGTTGGTTCCCTCTTGAAAATGGGGAGAGGGAGAGCAGATAGATGACTCCTTCCTTATACCTTGGCAGTCTTACCTTTCAGATATCCCTGAACTCCCTGGTTTCTGAGGATCTGTGAAAACCGAAGGCACAGTTTAGGAATCACATGTTGTAACTCAGACACCTGGTCTACCAGGCAAAGTTTACCCACATTGCCTTTGACAAATGGTACTTAAATGCCAATTTGTCTCCCAACTCCAATGTGGGTCTCAGCCATTAAAGTTAGTTCCGGATCTCTCCAGCAGAGGGATCAAAGGGGACCCTGTGGGCAGGGCCTTACCTTCAGACTCCTTGTTTTTCCTGCACTTAAACCTTAGACTGACCACACTGACAAGGATGATCACCACAACCACTAGAATGACAATGAAGCTGATGACTCCTGAAGAGAAAGAGAGAACGAATAGAGTGAAGGGGAGGATGAGAAGGGAACAAAAGGAGGCAACTAGAGCCCAGAATCCTCTTGGCTAAGTGCTAAATAATTAGGCTTCAGAAGTAAAGTGAATTTCATTTATTTACTGCACAAGTGAGCTCTCAGCCTGCTGCCCCAGTCTAGAGTGGGACGTCCTTGTATGTCCAGCCTCCCCTAGGAACATGCAAGTCAACAGAGCCAAGGGTTGACATGAAAAGCCAACAGAGCCTTTCCTTCTGTCAAATTACCCTGGAGCAAATGGGCAAGGCTTTACTTGTGTTTTATACCCAGAGTCCTTCTCAATTCTAGGTGTAATTCCCTCCCATACCCCACTGTCCCCTCGTGACTCACCAAATGCAGCCACGGTGAGCACCGACTCTGATGTGGGGCTGGGTAGGATGGTCAGGGGTTCCCCTGAATTCAGGCTCATGGTGGTAGATTCTGGAGTGATATTTTGGGACTTGCCTAAGATGGAGTGGGAATAATGGGTGCTTCAGTGTTGAGGATGGACATAGCTGACCAGAGAGAGTTCGCTTCACTCCTACCTACTAGGTAAGTGAATACAGGGGAGCTCACACCCCCCAAAAAAGACTCCTGCCACTTCAACCAGATCTCCAGCGTATGGAGGTCAGACCATGGTGGTGTGTGGTGATGCGATGGACGCTGCTGGGTGCTCCTGTTGCTGGCTCCAGCATTCCCCAGGAGATTCAGGATCCTTTTCTCATTATGTTCTTCCCACCTTCCCGTGAAGCCCAGAAGAAAGAGATTTCTGTCCCATAGATAGGAAGCCAGCTGGGTGAAGTGTGGCCATTCTGCGCTTTGCCAAAAGTCAAAGTGGTGGAAAGGAGGATGTGGAACGTGTGTATATGCAGAGGCTGACCTAACAAGCCAGGCAGCCAGCTAAGTAAGGAGCACAAGTCTCTGTTTCTTGAAAAGTGATGTAATCACTCCTCCCAACCCTTCTTCAGTACACTGTACTTCAGGCCTGATTATTTTTCCAATTTCTCATTTCTCTGTACCTCCCTCCCAAGTGGATTTGAGGAGTATTAAAAACAAAACTCAAACAATCCCAGAGTCAAGCGAATGATATGAGAGAAAGAAGGATGTCACTGAGTCCTCTCATTGTGAGTACAGACTGGACTTCTTCCACTGGGTTGCTGCTGTGTGGCGCCCCTGGGCCTACACCATGAAAAAGGCGAAGTTGGAGAGAATTCTCCCTTCCCCCAGCTCTTCTGTTCTAATTGGCAAATATCTGCCTTCCCTGAGAGGAAAGAAGCCTTTGCTGACATTTTCTACTACTTTCTCTTTCTCTGTACTTGTTTATCAGCCTAGGTCCAGGCTCCTTCCACTTTCCCTATGACCAAGCCCAAGTTCTTGTCTCTACTGTCTCAATAAACCTCTGTTATCCTCTCAAAAATTAAAGTGTAAAAAAAAAGTGTCATTGATATAAGATCCTGCCTTTAAGGCCTTTGAGTATAGAGAAGGACTGGGCCTCCTGAAGTGAAGAAGAAAAACCCACCCAGATAGAACCTGGTGTCCTTTACCTCCACTGCCTGCCCTGAACTTGGGCACTCACCAAGTCCTGATGTGTGCTTCTGTGGCTGGGACCAGCGTAGGCCCACTGAGGGTGAGGATTGGCCACCCATGATGTTTGACCTCAGAGTGGTGGTTTGATGTGTAGTAATGGGGGTTTCTGAGGCCTTCTTTGGAGGTTCTGTGGATCAGAAAGCACATCAAGGGCCTAGTTAGGGTCTCAGCCAGGACAGAGTCCAGAATGATTGCTTTCTGTTCCAGGAAAAGGGCCATTCTCCCACCTCTCACATTCTCTTCACCTGTGTAGCGCCCTCTGCTTGAAATCTATTACATTGCCTCCACCCTCATCTCCCTCTGGCTTCTTCCTCCTCAAGTTTCAGCTTCAGAGGTCACTCACTCAGATATCTTCCCAGGCCCCTCAAATTTGAAGTGGTTGGCATTTTTCTGGGCCCTCACAGCTCCTCAAGCCTGTGCCCATCACAACCCTGCTTGCCCCATTTTGTAATTGTTTAGCGGTAGTCCTGTTTACGTGTCTGTTCCCTCACTGGCTTATATTCTCCTGTCAAGCGAAAGCCTTCCCTGGCCCATCCGCTGTGTGGGAGTTGTGGTTTGAACCATAGAGTAGTACCTGGTGTCCTAATGATGGACAGAGAAGCTGTGCTGTTAGATGCTGAGGAAGGGACATCTCCTGCAAGGATAAGGTCAGATGTGGAGTTGGAGGTGAGGCCGACTTGGTGACACCACGCAGTGGGTTTTCCCAGAACTCCTGGGCTTCAAGTGTCACTGAATAGCTGGGAGCATGGGGTGAGGACTGCCAACTTGTCAAGCACATCTACTCACCTGTGTTGGGAGAAGTTGTCTCTATGGTCAGGCTTAGACTATTGAAGTTTCCTGAAACAGACCATCAGAGATTAAGGCATTTGTTGCTACCTATTGCTGCCTCTCTCTCTTCTTCCCTCCATTCCTCTCTATCCTTTTTTTTTAAAGACATGTTAGAATAGGTTAAGTGGCAGGGGGCGAGGTAGGGGTGGAATATCCCTAGGTGAGTTCAACTTTGGATGTGCCGAAGGCTCTGGGTTCAGTCACCATCACCCGAGGTCAGAGCAGAACTATTCTAAAGCTCCTCTTATCTTTTCTACATCACCTGGAGTAGGCCTTGTGTATTTGATCTTACCCCGAGGGCTAGTGGGCTGGGTTGTTGTGGGCTGGAAGTTGTGGCCTGAAAGTGAAAGCAAAACATAGGGGACTGGCTTGGTAAGTTCTCCTGCCCAGAACAGAACCCATATTGGAATCTAAACCTTTTGACTTTCTCAGCCTCCTGTGCTAGAAGCAGACACACATGGCCTAGGACCAAAGACATGAACCCTAGTAAAGCTGCTGACTTCCCCCGAGACTATAACTTCACACTATCACCACCATCTCATGTCACCACCATCAAAGTTCCAAAGACCTTCCCCATCTCTTCAACTCCATGTGGCTTTTATACCAACCTGACACAGGTCAAGAAGTATTAATTTTTTTTAAAATTTAAAGCTAGTAATATGTCCAAGAACAAGGCAAGTGATTTACCTAAGCAAGAATCCAAGACTTCACAAGCAACAAATGCTGATGAGGTTGTAGAGAAACTGGAACCCTTATTCACTGTTGGTGGAAGTGTAAAATGGTGCAACCACTGTGCAAGGCGGTATGGCACTTTCTCAAAAAGTTGCAAATAGACCCAGCAATTCCACTACTGGGAATATACTCCAAAGAGACCATAACTGACATCCAAGCAGATATATGCACACCCATGTTTATTGTGGCTTTGTTCACAATAGCAAAGAGTTGGAAACAACCTAAGCACCCATCAACAAATGAATGGATAGAGAAGCTGTGGTATATTCACACAATGGAATACTACGCTGCATTGAAAAACAAGGAACTCATGCAATATTATTCAAAATGGGTGACCCTGGAGGACATTATGCTGAGTGAAATATCTGAGTCACAAAGGGAAAATACTGCATGGCGCCACTGTTGTAAAACAGGACTGACCTTGGGGTTGGGGAGAGACTGAGAAAGATGGAATAAATAATGTATACTGCGTTGAAACAGATGAGGGAGAGAACTGTTTAAAAGGGATATGTGATGAGGTATTTTTGTCATGACAGGAGTCCAGAGTGAAGACTGCCTGGGGGGAGGGATTGTAAAACAATGGAGGAACTTTTACTTTTCAAAGAGAAGAGTGTACTGAGTGGGGAGGGGTGGGCAGGGAGAAAAGTGCAACAATGAATGAATGGAAATCCAAAGTCTCTGTAAATTTTCATTTACATTAATAAAATTTAAAAAGGGGGGAAAATTTAAAAAAAGGATGAAGAAAAAGAAAAATCCAAGACTTCAAGTCCTTCAGCTAGTGTACCCACCACTCTATCATTGAATCCTTCTTTTTCCCTGTGAAAATTGTCATCCCCAAAGAAAGGAGATGGAGCAATATGGTGAATACGATAGGGCTAGGGATTAGAGTTTGTATCTGGCCTGTCTCTCTGCCTGTCTTGAGCTTGGGGGAGGTGAGTCCTGCACAGGAAGCAGGTTAAGGTATTTGTAAGCAAGAGCTCTAGGATGAGTGTCCAATTTATTGTCATAGAAAGTTACTCCTGCAATCATGGTCTGCTTTAGAAATGGTTGTGTTGACCAAACCTAGAGAGTATCCAGTAAGAAGTTCTCATATGCTTTTTGTGTGTCCACAGAGCACACACACATCTCTCTTGCAAATGTGTATGTGTATGGGGGTGTGTGTGTGTGTGTGAACATACCCATATATGTGTCCTGCTATGTGTGTAGGACCTAAAAGGTCAGGTTGTGTTTGCTCTTTTTCCACAATGAAATCATTCTTGAAACCTGTGAACAATGTGAAAGGAAAACAACGTGGGGAAGTGGAGCCGCCCAGCTATGTTCCCGTCAGAGGCTCAGCCTGGGCCTGCAGCCCCTGGCCTGGCCCTCCTGCTCCCTGGTTCCTCATCAGTGGAGAAGCACAAAGTTTAGGCCTCAGTACACAGAGCTGGCTGGGTGCCAGGGGCCCTCCCCTGCCTGTGGCAGCCTGCTAGTCTGTTTATTTTCTTTAACCCACTGTCTTCCTCCATGGGACTATCATTTGAATAATGTAGAATTAATTTTTCCAAACTTCAGTTTGCCCAAGCCCTGAGCCATGTTTTTCCAAGTCACCAACTCTGATGGCTTCATTAGATGAGGAATGGGGGAGGGAGAGGTAAACGGAGTTAAATGGGTAAATGGGTGCACTCCAGCCTATACTGAACCCTCCAGGGGTGGGTGCAGATGGAATGAAAACATCTATCTATCAGTTCTTGGTCAAGCATATCTAAGTACTATTAGGTTATAATTTTATATTTTAGTGGGTACTGTGCACTGCCATTCTGCATTTATTTAGGAAAAAACCTCTTTATTGTTTTGAGAAGAGTTCACAAGCTTCAGGTCCCAGTTGCCTGGTCTCTCTGAGCTTTCTGCTCCCTGTCTCTCCTCAAACTTTCTACCTCCAAGAGATTCTTTTGTGAGGTGGGGAGGGAGTGTCTGTGTCTCTGGGAGACAGGTGCCTCTGACCACTGGGTGCAAATGTACCCAAAAGATGTTGGCTACTGGGGTGTCTTCTTTTCCTGCTTTCCCTAACCCAGTCTACGGGCTTTATTCCCTACACGAATGTCTTCTGTCCCTTTCTACCTAACCCCTTCCCAACCCTGCTATTTTCTTCAGTAACATAATTTAATCTTTAAAATCTTGGATCTTGGCACTTGGCAGGCTTAAGTTCAAGTCGTGGCTCTGTCATGTTCTGTGCAACCTGGCCCTCAGTTTTATCTTCTTTATAATGCGTTGGTAGCTATCTCCTCATTTGTAAGGAGGTTGAGATATGTGTTAAAGCCTTTAACAGAGGGCTCACCTGATAATCAATCCTTATATAGTAAGTGCTAGACATTTTTGGTCCATTCTCACAACTCTTTCAGGTCAAATCTGATTTGACTTTGTATATCCACAGTCAAGCTCCTTCATGGGTCTGGATATCCTCAGAATGATTCCTTAGTCCGGCAAATCAAAGACAGAGTAAGCTCTTGGAATGAAAGGTAAGTGGTACTAAAGACTTAAGTAGAGTTTATCAGGGCATGTAGTGACCTTGGCTCTTGGCTGGGATAGAACAGTGAATAAGGAAGTTGGAAGAAACCTAGATTTATGAAAAGCCACCTCACAAGTCTTACCTTTTATTCTATCTCATCTCCTCCCTTCTATAGCAGCCTAGTCCCCAGTCCTAGACAGAATCTAAGGCTCTTTCCTTAAGGAGAGAGGGAATAACAATCAGAGGTTTCCCCCATCCATGAGCTTTGTGAGATATCTGTCTCCTCCAGGAAGCAGAATGTTCCGGTACTCAAGCTCGCTCTCCCACAATCAACAAAGGATCAGCTTGATAGATTTCTCATTACCCTTTGCCAGTAACAGCACCCTTGTTTCTCTCTCTGTTGCTTCTACCATAATTTTATAAATCTTCCGCAAAGACCTCTTGGAGGGTGCGATGGGGAGGGGATGACCAAGGGGAAGTTGCTGCCCTGTGAGTCACAATCTCCTGGACTTTTCCTGGTTCCCTGCAACTCACCCAAATTAGAGTAAATGGCTTTGCGAGTCATCACCTATCAAAGTCCTATCTGGAAAGTTGTTTCAGATTAATTTCCCACAGAAATCATCTCATCTAGCCCTCAGGTAAGGCTGTAAAATACAACCTCCTTGGTAAGTAGTTCTTTGTGTCTAACTTAAGTCTCTCTGGCTATGATTTAAGCTTACTTACTGTCAACATTTAAACAGAAGGAGAGAGAAATCATGTGTTAAGCTTAAAGTACAGACAAGTTTGTCCAGAAATAGTGACAGAGAAGATAGAGCCAGCTTTGAACCCGCAGCTTCTACCCTCTGCCCTCACCCTGGAAGGAAGGAGCTTTCTAACCTCAATCTCATATCAAAACAAGGACTCCCACATTTCATGAAGCTGCCTTGTTCAGGGCTCCAAGTCTCCCCAGAAAACTTCCCACGGAAAGTTTTAACTAAGTTTCTATTTACCACTGCCTGGTAATGACCATCCCCCGAGTTCAAATGATGCTTTGTGTGAAATCTCTGGAATTCCCCTTGGGGATGGCCCTGGATGGAGAATGTCTGGTTTATATCCTGATCCTTGTGATCATGACTTTCAGCCTCCAGAGAGAAATTGCTGGAGAAAGGTGACAGACGTGTCTTACCTTGGAGAAGAAGGAAGCCCAGGATCGCCCAGCACAGCTGTGCTGTTCCAACAGTCCCCATGTCAGCTGGGTGTGTGGTGGGCAGGCAGCTGCTCTCCGTGGAGGCTCTGTCCATAGTGAAAAAGAGAGAGGGAGTGCTCGGGTGGGGTGGGGGGTGGGGGCTGGCTCTCCAGGAGTTTCCTGTCAAAGAATAGAAGGAAACAGATTGGGACTAGCTCCAGGGGCTGTGCTCAGCTTGGCCATCCAGATGAGGATGTGAGGTTGCAACAGCAGAGAATCACTCAGGCCCCAAGCAGGGCCTGGGCCAGAGCCACTGTAGTCTTCTGTGCACATAACTAGTGATGGAAACTTGGTCCCCATCCACCCTCTCCTCCCGAGAAGCCTATCCTGTCCCTTCATATTAAACCTGGATATTTTCCTACAGTCTTAACTCCAGCCTCATCCCATATGGGCTTCAGGCCCATCCTGTGAATGAGCCCAAAGATCAGCCCACCACCGCCCATGTTCTGTAGACTCTAAATTCTCCACATTCCTCTCCCTCCTCCTGGCTCCCAGTGCAGATGGGATGCTCAGCATCTTTCAGGGCAGTCTTACAAATATTATTATTATTCTATATACTTATTCATAATGGAAGTGCAAGAGAACCATATTCCAAGTGCTTCCCCTTCGACAGAGCCCCCACCCCCGAATACAGTTAGGTGTCCTCTGGCAGCAATCTGTTCTCTGCATGTGTGATGGTTAATGTGTGTCAGCTTGATCTGGTTGTTAGGATTCTCAGGGATGTAATAGAAGTTAGACTGGTTGTCTTTGGTAATAAAATGTAATCCCTGTCATGATGTGATCAGCCAATCAGTTATGAGAAGTTTTTTCCTAGGAAAGTGGCCTACATCCAACATATGTTGTTCTTGTTTGTATCATTAAATTGACTACAACTCAGAGAGCCTATAAACAACAGACCTGAATCTTGCCCTATCCTGTACCATCTTTACTATCCTTGATTTACTCAAGCCCATTGCTACAGTCACTGTCAAACCGTCTTGTTGAGGGTCTTCCTCTTTTTCACTGACCCTCCACTTTTCCAAACATTATGTCCTTTTCCAAGGACTGGACTCTCCTAAAGACGTGCTCAAAATATGTGAGATGAAGCTTCACCATTCTGTCATTAAGGACCACCCTGGCTGAACCTTCTCTAAGATATATCTTTTTGTTCTTTGGGCAATTTATGGGATATTCGGTACTCTTCACTTCAAAAAGCACCTGTTGTTCTGTTATTCTTAGTAATTGTCCAATTTCAGATGCAAAGGAAGTAATTGAAATGAACTTGAGGGTGTTGGATATTGTGAGGATGGCAGAGGATAAGACAAGGTTCAGATCTGTTCTCCATAGTATTGCTATGGGTTGTACTCAACTTAAAGACACAAAGCAGCAACAACAATGACTCTCCTCAGGTGCATCTTAGTCCTTAAACTGACATCACTGTTCCTCAGCATCTTAGAGGGAACCTTGACCACAGATTCCCCAATACAACATGTCTTTTGATTTCTTGACTGCTGTGGTGCCGAGGGTGTTGTGGTGAGGATTTTTAGTTTCTTAATGTTGAGATGAAGTCTACATTGAAGGCTGTAGTCTTTGCTCTTCTACAGCCTCTGCATTAAGTCCTCTTCACTTTCAGCAAGCAAGGTCATGCCGTCTACACAATACAGATTGTTGATGAATCTTCCTTGATCCTGACTATCATATTCTTCCCTATAAAGTCCAACTTCCCAAGTTATGTGCTCAGCATATAAATTGAATGGTTATAGAGAAAGGATAAAGCACTGGCACACAACTTTATTGATTTTAAACTCCTTTGCTTTGTTCAGACAACAGTTTCTTGGTCTAGGTATAGGTTTCACATGAGAACATTAAGTGATCTGGGATTCCTATTTCATTAGCTACCTGGCCAACTGACTGGAAGAGAATGCTGCCATTCTGAAAACAAAAAACAAAAAACAAAAAAAAACAACAGATGATCCAACACAATGTAGAAATTATTGAACCATATCACACAAAAGTAAAATCTTGCTAAAGAATAATGGACAGAATAGTAATCTAGTAAGAACTGCCAGTAATTCAAGCTGAATCCAGAAGTTGTTGTTGTTAGGTGCCGTCAAATTGAGTGTGACGCATAGCGACCTTATAAACGAAAGATCTCAACCCTCCTCTATCCTGTGTCATTCTAACACTTTCTAACACACGAGCCCACTGTACCAGTCACCATGTCAATCCACCTGGTTGAAGGTCTTTCTCTCCCTCGTTGAAGAAGTTGTAACACCAGGGGTATCATTGCTGATGTTAGATGGATTATGACTGAAAGCAGAGAATACCAGAAGGATGTCTAATTGTATTTTATTGACTATGCAAAAGCATTTGACTGTGTGGATGATAACAAATTATGGGTAACATTGAGAAAAATGGGAATCCCAGGACATTTAATTGTGTTCATGCAAAACCTATACCTAGACCAAGGTGGAGCTTCCTGGGTGAAGTGTTGTGCTGCCAACCCACAAGCAGATGATTAAAATCCACCAGCTGGTCCTCAAGAGAAAGATGGTCAGTTTCTTCCTTTGCGATTTATAACATCTGGAACCCTATTAGATGGTCAGCTATGCATTGGTTCTGACTCCAGGGTATATAACAATATTTGCATTACATGCCACACACACATAAATATGCATGTGCGCATGTGCATACACATACACACACACTTATAGCTGCATTACTTCAGTATCTATTTCATTGTCACAGCACCTTCTCTTCCATGTCTTCTCTTCTGGGTGTTTGTTATATGGACACTTGTCATTGGATTTATTACCCATTTGGATAATCCAGGATGACCTCTTTGGACCCTTAACTTAATCATAAGGGCAAAGATTCCCACCCCAAACTTATATTTCTAGGTCCCAGTGACTAAAATGTAGATCTGTCTTTTTAGAAACCACTGCTTTGCTCACTGGAGCCAGGTCAAAGCTTAAAGTTACCTTTTGTAACGAAAGACTATTTTGTGAAGATATATTTTGACACTATGAAAATATCCCATTCCTCATCAAATTTTTAATTTATTAATTTGTAACATATATATGGATCTGCTTATTCTCATCTTAGTCAATGGATTATAATAAATAACTGCCTTTGAGCTATGCTGTTGACAAGGCATATTGTATATACCATGAACTGCTAGAAGGATGAACAAATATGTCTTAGAAGAAATGAAGACAGAATGGTCTCAGATTTGAGATATCACGTCAAATTCTTCAAAGCATGTTATTAAAAAGACATCATGCTTGGTAAAGTAAAACCCAAACTGAATCTACCACTGTTGATTACAACTCATGGCAAGCTCTTCCTTGGGTTTCTGAGCCTGTAAATTTTTTTTATGTATTTTTCCCTTTTTTAAAATTTATTATTAATTTCAATGAAAATTTACAGAGAATTTGGATTTCCATTCATTCATTCATTGTTGCATTTTCCCCCTCCCAACCCTCCCCCCTAGTACATTACCTTCTTGGAAAAGTAAAAGAAAAATTATTTCATTATTTTACAAACCCTCCCCCAGGTCCACTCCACTATACAGCCTTCTCTCTGGACTCCTGTCATGACAGAAATCCCTAATAATTTTCCATCTTAAACAGTCTTCTCCATCATCTGTTTCAATGCAGTATACATTATTGAACCCATCCTTCTCAGTCTCCTCCCAACGCCGAGGTCAGACCTGCTTTACAACAGTGGGGCCATGCCGTATTTGTCCTTTTGTGACTGAGATACTTCACTCAGCATAGTGTCCTCCAGAGTCACCTATTTTGAATAATATTGCATGAGTTCCTTATTTTTCAATGCAATGTAGTATTCCATTGTGTGAATATACCACAGCTTCTTTTTCCATTCGTTTGCTGATGGGCACTTAAATTGTTTCCAACTCTTTGCTATTGTGAACAAAACCACAATAAACATGGGTGTGCATATATCTGCTTGGATGTCAGTTATGGTCTCTTTGGGGTATATTCCCAGTAGTGGAATTGCTGAGTCGAATGGTATCTCTATTTGCAACTTTTTGAGAAAGCGCCATACCACCTTCCACAGTAGCTGTACCATTTTACACTTCCACCAACAGTGAATAAATGTTCCAGTTTCTTCGCAACTTCGCCAGCATTTGTTGCTTGCTGCTCTGTTAAATTTTGCAACTCTGACTGGGATGAGATGATATCTCATGGTTGTTTTGGAGCCTGTAAATCTTTATGGGAAGAAGAGTTGTCTATCTTTCTCATGTAGAGTAGGCGGTGGGTTCTAGCTGCCTACTTCTTGGTTAGCACCTGGGACATAGCACACTACAGCACCAGAGCTTCTTTTGGTAAAGTAATGGGCTAGCAAGAAAAAGATAAAAACTCTCAGTCAGATTGTAAGATACAGTAGTTAAAACAATGAGTTGTAACATAGTAATGATTATGTGAATTATGCAGGACCAGGCAGTATTTTATTCTGTTACATATAGGGTATATGTGAGTTGGTGCTGACTTGACAGTACCTAATGATAGTGAAGAGATTGAGTTTGTTAACAGGTTCAGTTTGTTTGGCTCCACAATCAACATTCTTGGTACCAGCAGCCAGGAAATTAAAAGACAAATTGCACTGGGAAAATCTATTGTTAGAGACCTCTCCAGGGTACTGAAGAGTAACAGTGTCAGACTGGAGACTAAGGTGCACCTGATCCAGGCCATGGTCTTCACAATTACTCCCTGTGCATCAGAAAGCTAGATAATGACTAAGAATAATAGAAAGGTAATTGATGCCTTTGAGTTGTGATGCTGGAGAAAACTATTGAATATACCATGGAGTACTAGGAAAACAAATTCATCCTGCAGAGGGTGAAACCAGCCTACTCCTTAGAGGAAAAGATTCTGAAGATTCATCTGACATACTTTGGGCATGTTGCAAGAAGGGACCAATCCTTGGAGAAGGACTTCATGTTTGAAAGAATGGAGAGATAGTGTAAGAGAAGAAGACCTTGAATAAGATGGATTGACC